GTCCAACATGCAGGTGATTGTGCATGTTAACGGGAATGTGTCGCACGTCCAACATGCAGGTGATTGTGCATGTTAACGGGAATGTGTCGCACGTCCAACATGCAGGTGATGCCACGCTGTTTGCCTGGCCTGACTGATATTCAAGTAGCAGAAGATGCACAATTGAAGAGACACACAAACAGTTGCTTTCTGATGCCTTGTGCAAGGTATATGTCACTGAAAATCCTAACACAGCATATTTATGCTTCTTTTAATTGGGAGTTGGCATAGTGGCAGTTGGTTAGCACTTTAGTCTTATATCTCTGGGATCAGGGTTTGAGTTTCTACCCTGGCTATACGTCTGTGGAGGTTGCACATTCTCCGTGCCCTACAGGTTCTCAAGTTTCCCCCCACGGTCCTAAAACAGGTGAATCAGAGTTGCCATATGTGTTGCCGTGCTGGGGAGCTGCCCTATCCAGGGTTGTTCCCCTGCTTGCGCCTGTTGTTTCTGGGATGTGCTCCAGATTCCCACAGACAAGTGGGTACAGAAAATGAATGAACTTTTAAATGTTATTCAATGAAGGGAATACACGTGAAAGAAAAGCAATGGTAACATCCATAAGCAAAAACGCCACAGAGACGGGGCTGGACTGGGATTAAAAACTTGGGTCTCCTACAGTCAAGCGATACATTTTGCTTACCGGGGGGGGGGGGGGGGGGGGGGGGGGGAGGAGGACGCCACATACCCATCGACAGCCAACGTCCACATCAGCCACCGAGAAAGGGCCAGTCTTGGCTTGAGGCCAGTTCTCATATTTGTATTTAAGAACCACGCAGCTGATATTTCATAACAATGCCTGGTTTGGACAGAACTAACATGATCGATGCTTTCCTGTCCCCCATTTCACCCAGGAGCATTCACAATGCAGCCTGGGTCATACAATGGTTTGCCTCTAGAGGGCAGCAGATGCTGAAGAAGTCTCCAAGACCGTATGCCCTTGCTCTTGGCATTCCTTTTTAGTCCTCCAGACTCATGATGCTGTGAATAAGAATAAGAGTTAACACCACATGAGGGGGCTCAAATACTCAAGAACAAATCATGAACTAATATAGATCCTGCATGAAATGCATGAACTGTATTGATTGATTAATGATGAAGTTGTGATTAATTAATGCATTAAGTAAGAGTGTACTACTACATTATTTGTGCCCTCGTGTCACCGAATAAGACAATGCTTAATGTCTGCCCGTCCACATCTGAGCTAAACTGAAATAGACATTGTCCATAGATACAGGCATGGGGAGACAAGGTCTTTAAAATGTTGCATATAATATCAGTTATGAATTATTTAAATTACCTACAGTGTGATGAATTGAAATCCCTTCATGATGTTTAAATAATGAAAGAAAACTTGGCCAGCATGGTGCCCGTGTTCAGATGTTTTACACAAGGCTGTGGCCTGGGGTCACCTCTGGCTTTGGTGATCTCACAGTACCGAGGAATTAAACTCTCACGTGACGATGACACCGCAAGCCTGCAGACACATGTTTTGTCACTGCATGTACTTCAAAGGAAAGTAAGCAAACTCAAGGGCTTCTTTTGCTCTGGGGCCAAAGGCGACTTTATCGGTGTTAAGCCAAGTTGCAGGTGAGGTCGGCGTGCTCTAGTTCCAGCTTTTGGGGGTTCGAATCCCATTACTGGACAGAGTAATCTTTTCAGTGACAGAGCCTTCGGTGCCGCCATTAACCCCAACTGTTCCGGGACACTGGCTGAGGCTGTCCTCTGTTTCTTCTGTCTCGGAAGGGGGGTGTCACTGGGTTGGGACACTGTGGTCATGACTGGATGGGTTCCAGTTTGAATACCAGGTCTGGGAGAGCAATCTGCAAGGTCTCCCCCCCCCTACCCATTGCTCTAGGGCTGCTAAACCTGCTCTCTGACTTTCCTGACTTGTACATCATTTCGGTTTAAAGCATTTACTAAGTAAACGTAAAAAAATATTATATTCAGCCACAATGGCCTAGTTCTTCTGAGATTAGAGGCTGCATCTGTGTGTTTGACAGCTGGATGCTGCCCTGGAGAGGCTGAGGGGAGGGAGGCCCTGTCTGTGTACTATTCATCCCCAAATGAAACTCACTCTTTGAGTGTGGTCGCTATTTCCCTGGCAACAATACAAACATGTAGTCTGTTTCCCTCTCACCCTTACACACAAACACAGCATCTCTCTGTCTGTGTCTCATCCTTATCTACAGAGAATTACGTACGTACAGTTTGACAGCTCTGTTCACAGACCAAGTAATAGCTTGGACAGAATTTTCTGTTTTTACCAAACAAGCCACATTAACAATTTTCTATTCATATATGATGCAAAAATTGCATCCTATGCAGGGTGTACTCGTGCCTTATGCGCTGTGCTCCCTGGGACGGGCTCCAGGCCCCTCGGTGACCCTGACCAGGATAAACAGCTGGAGGCCGGATGGATAGATGGATGGATATAAGGCAGTAGCCCTGATCAATTAAGTACAAAGGCTAAACAGACTAGGCAGAGGTACCCAATGCCTGCTCCGTTCACTTGCCAGGCTGTGATCTCTAATCCTGGAGGATCCGATCCCCCCAGCACAATCCTTTTAGCTTAAGAGCCGCTAACCCCTCACTTTGTGCTGGGATTTGGGTTCTCTCCGGATCAGACACCAGTCGGAAAGCGGCACCGTTCTGGCTCTGCTTCACGGGTCCTTGTTAGCAAAGCAAAGGGAAGCTGGACCATCCTCCTGGATTCGAAAGATCTTAAGCTCTTAAAATTGGGCTGACCCCATTTTTTTATGCTCTGCTCACATTATACACCCGCCTCTCTGCATTTTTGTTAAAGTGGATATATCACCCCAACACAGTGCTTCTCATGCCTCAACGTTTCCACTCACCCCGTTTTACAGCAAAATTAGGCCACCTGCATTAAATCCGAGCTTAAGTGCCACATTCTCAAGAAAAAGGTCAAAATTGGGGGATTATTTCAACAGGCAAGTGAGACACATTCATATAAATAATCACCGATGACTTGCTGTGGGCCCACCCCTGTTCCCTGCTCTTTTGCAGAAAGATCTGCCCTTTGTGTGATTTTTATTCTACATGAGTTTTAGGAATGTATTGATCTAACCGCGTCATAAAGCCTGCTGCCTTTTTTACAGCACAGGCCTCTTGTCAGAAAGAGTAGAATGTCCTCTTGAAATCGGGAGATGCAGGGGAAAATGCAGTGTTGACTTTTTCGCTGTAGATCTTCACTGACGTGTTATTGTGTACTATAAATATGGTAAGTATTATAATGTTCTGGAATTAAGCAAACTGCCTCTGATGGGAAAGAAGCTCTTACCCCTGCTTTCGAATCTGCCCGAGTGCAGACTTGAAGAAATCTGCCCTTGGTTATTGGCAGAATGAAACGTGACTGCTTCTGCTTTGGGGTGTTCCCTTCCTGTGCTTCCTGTGCAAAGTCCCAGGGTCAACTTCTTCAATTTGACTCATTCTAATGTGAGTTTTTCATTCAGAATTTCGGTTGCCTAGTGGGATCTGATTGTTCTTACTTGTTCATTCACAGTTGGGTTTACATATGGGCTTGTTGTTTGTAGTATATAACGGATATATATAGATTCTAAAATATTTATTTCAAAATCCACTAAATAAAAGCATCTCTTGGATTCACCTCTTTTCTCTACCATTCTCTTACACCACCCAGTGGCTGCGTAAATGCACTGACACATGGAATCACAGACACAGACATACACGCAGATGTACATAGACTCTTAGACACAGACATAAACACAGACGTACACAGTCACAGACACAGTCATGCACACAGATGTACACAGACACATAGACACAGATATACACACAGTGAAATCACTCTGCTAGCTCTTTTAGATAAAACTGATTAATTTTGGGATGTGTGTGAAGTGTGGCGTCTGGAACACATTGAGCATGAGGAGGAGAATCAGGTGACTGCTGTCCTTCTCTGGATAGAAATTTACTTCAGTTTGATAATCCATCCATCTTCAATTTGGTCTTCCAGTCATGGTCAGCAAAAGAACAAACTGGATGACCAGACCCAAGATTTTTCACTGGGTGGGGGTACCAATGGCATTACCTGGATTATTGGGGGGGCTGGGGGGTAATAATAAAAATTATTGATCTGGGGGGTTGGCAACGGTCAAAATTATGGGGGTGGTTCCAATCCTGCTTCCAGTACAGAGTCACATGACTAGGTAGGGGGACTCCCTGTGTGAGAGGCCGTCATAGGGAACAGAGTTATGCAATAATGGACAATTTGGAAATACCTAACTGACAAACACAGCGAGGGGGGGCGGGATTCCACCTCACGTCCCTGGAGACGCAGGTCTGCCACATTGTCCTTTTATAAACTTAAACTGAGTAGAAATAAACTCAGAAACACACAGGCAGCTGGACAGTTAAATGCTTTTCCTGGAAAATTGCTTCTCAATGGGGAATATTTACCTAATTATAAAAACAAGAAAAGATCAAATATGAATCCCTAAAAGAGAGAAGCGCTGTGTGATCAGTGTGTCCCAGAACAAATATTCAATGGGCTCTGATTTTATACCTGAAGAAGCAGACTCATCTCTTTTCAGTGTCATTGTCCATAAGAAGGATGTTTCTTCACTTTGGTCTGCACATTTTTGCTTGATGTAGAGAAGGAAGGAAGGAATTTCCCCACGACCGCAAACAGCGTGTGCTCAGACACGCAGCAGCTGAACAGCGGAGAGCTGGCCAAGCTGTTTGGTGGGGGGGGGGCGGGGCTGATCATCTCATGAACCTGAAAAACACTACGACTTCTTATTTTGAGACCAATACCTTGTAAAAATATAAATATATGTATATTTATATCAGACCATGTGATCAGTTTTGAGAGATGACAGGATACATTCTAGAAAACAGCGGAAGAGCACTTTCCTCATTGGTACAAAGAGCACATATCATTGCAGTTACGATCATGCTTCCTCATAACACAGTTTACTCGTGATAACCACCTTAATGCAGTCACCATTTCTGATCATAGTAAAACAGGCAGTGCATAATATGGACAACACACCATCAAACTCAGTTCATACTGGCTTCAGATGGTCCTAGTTTCTGGGCACAAAGTGCGGAGACTGCATCTCTCGTGAGCAGTGGGGTGTACATTTGCATATGTGTGCATCTATATGTGTGTGTGTGGATATGCTTAGCTTTTTTGGCGGAGGAGGGTTAATGACACCCCAACAGACAACAAAATCAACTGCAAATGTAAAACAATGAACAACAATGCAAAAACTAAAAAAAAAAATACAAATTAAAAAATAAAACAAATGTGACAATAAACATGAGAAGTTGCAGCACTGGATTGTCACTCATGAGAGAGCTCCCCGCTGTGGGGAAGGCCAGTGATTGTCGTCCTGTTAGGTCACATGTCTGCTGCACCATAAAACAGCGAGCAGTGCCGAGGTCTCAGAGCACTGTCAGCGTCGCCGTGGAGGAAGGCCAGAGAGAGGCAGCCTGCTGTAGGTACGTCGCGTTTCTCTGAGACCGATCCATACCTTCACGAGGCATATTCAAGCAGAACGTCACCAGACAGCAGAACCAGCGCCAGGCGTGATACTCAGCACTTAACAACCTTATGCCATTCTTTAATTCTAATTTAAAAAGATGAAAGATCTTACAGAACTTTGTGATTGTTAGCTCATACAAAGCCCTGAAACACCATCATCCATTTAAAAGACGGTAACGTTTTAGAGAAAATGTGCAATATAAATTATAACATATTGCTGATTTATTGATTTTTTTTCCAGTTGGAAGGATTGTTTATGTGATTAAGGATTTGTCATATCAATGAACAAGCAAAGAGTCAAGTTATTTTTTTATTCTGTCAAGCACCCTGATTAATTTTGTATTTTTCTTAAATTGCAAGTTTCCTCATAACTTTTTATTATTTACCAGCACATTTGAAAATATATTTTAGTGAGAGTTGATACAAATGTAAATTGAGTCACTGAACTAAGGTACAATAAATATACAAGTTTTACAAATAAAAGGATTTATGGAATAACATAATGTATAAAACGTAATGTAATTTTCATCACGAGCCACTAGGGGTGAAAGTGAGCGTGTGGGTGTGAAATGCATAGATGACCTTTGATGCAAGAGCCCTGTAAAATATATAACTGTGTACTGAGGCAGACAGTCAAAAGGGGCTTATTTACATCCTATAGATCTCTATATGCATTTATTCATATGTAAATATATGCGCAAAAGCCTCTCTCACATCTGTGTTTCCTCAAGCGATGTTTTAGTGACGCTTATTGTTTGTTCTAATGAACAAACACGTCGTGGATCACAGAGAAGAAACCAAACAACCGGCGCCTTCCAAAGGCCGCCTTTTGCACCAGCTTTTGCAGGGGGGCACCAAGCCGCATGTAGCCCATTTCATGCGCTTGTTGGGTTGACACACTCAGCTATTACCAAGCAGCATCAGACAACCAGGTAGAACGAATAAGAGGGCTCTTTTCCCCTGAAGGTGTCCGACTTGGCTTCTTGATTTACAGATAGCTGTCTCTTTCAGCGTGGTCTTAGCTTGTGTATGGCTCCTTGCTTCCTGAAGTGAACGATTAGCCCTCCGCATCGACGTTTGAGTAAATGCTCGCACGAGCGTGTGTTTACCTCCGGCGACAGTCTGGTGCGGCCAGTCGCCACTCAGTGTCACGCATGATATGTAGGGATGCTCGAAGCATGAGAGGTCTGGGAAGCGAGCCAGATGCCAGACTTCTAGGTTTGTGGTGACTTTGTTGGGCTAACTAGCCGTGTTCGAAGGGTTAAGAGTGTTGCATACCACCCAGTGGAAGGCAGGGAAGTTTCTGTAATGAGGTGAGCCCTCATTTCTTGACCTAGGTTGCAACATTGGGCGGCATCGGTAAATATTGATTTTTATGATTACCATTTGGCAGGCAAGGTCATATCACGGCAGTTCAGTACGTTGCATAGATTTCCTTTCTCATCCATCACCGCTCTCTATTTTATGTTGAATTATTGTGATGAAACCATTAAATGCATTGTTGAGCTTGGATGAAAGCTGAATGCTAACAGAGGCTGTTGCGATATCTAACATTGTGTTTTAGTGATATACGCTGCCGTTTGAAGGCTTCGCCCGATAAGCGGCCGGCGACCCCGGTTGAATATTGTTCTTTAGCCTGAAGGATTTGCAAAATAAGTCTTATAGGTTTTAAGTATGAACAGACATCAGGTTGATGATTGCATAGATCTGTAAGCTGTACAGAGTGTGTTATCGCTTCACAGACTGGTTACCTAACTAGCTTGACTAAACGAGTCTGGTTCCCTGGGAAGTGAACAGCTCGCAAGGGAACTTCTCGGGCAGGCCAATAAATAACGCCTCTTTCCATTTCCCCTTCTTCTCTGCAGAGGTTATCGTCCACCTTCCGCTCCAAGATGACAGAATACTGGAGTCATGAGTTTTCACTGGCAGTCTACATCATCACCTTTGTGACGGGCCTGCCCGCCAACGTCTTGGCCTTCTACACCTTCACTCTGAAGGTGAAACAGAAGCCCACACCCATCGACATCCTCCTCCTTAACCTGACGGTGTCCGACCTCATCTTCCTCATCTTCCTGCCATGCAAAATGATAGAGGCGGCAGATGGCATGCATTGGAACATGCCCTACTTCCTGTGTCCGCTCTCTGGTTTTATCTTCTACACCACCATTTATAATAGCACCTTCTTCCTCACGGCCATCAGCGTGGAGCGCTACCTGGGCGTGGCGTTTCCCATAAAGTACAAGCTGAACCGCCGGCCGCTCTACGCCGTCATAGCCAGCGTCTTCTTCTGGGTGGTGTCCATGTCGCACATCAGCATCGTCTACATCATGCATTACACCGGCGCAAACAGCTCCATCCCCAAGAATGTCTGCTACGAGGACTTCTCGAAGGAGCAGCTCAAGATCCTCCTGCCCGTGCGTCTGGAGCTCTTCCTGGTTCTCTTCTGCATCCCCTTCCTCATCTGCAGCTTCTGCTACATCAAGTTCATCTATATTCTGTCCAGACTGCCTCACATCAGCCCGCACAGAAGACAACGCGCCATTGGGCTTGCGTTGGGAACACTGCTGGTCTTCATCATGTGCTTTGGCCCCTATAACTTGACTCACGTGGTGGGCTTTGTTACCGGGGGGAGTCCCAAGTGGCGCGCACAGGCTGTGCTCTTCAGCACCTTCAACGCCTGCCTGGACCCCATCATCTTCTACTGCTCCTCCTCCACAGTCAGGAAGATGTTGAACCGCATCCTGAAGGATCTGGTGGAAAGGCTGCACATGAGGTGCTGCCAGTGTCCACAGTGGAGCTGCGTTGGGACGGAGGAGAGCACCACCCAGAGCTCCAACGACACCACCTGAACGGCTGGCAGCGTGCTTTGGGGTCCCATCCACATGGACTGGTTCTCTAGGCTGGCCCCTACGTTTCACGTCATGGACTTTTTAATGCTAAACACCAGTAGTGATGTGCAGAAAAACATGCGGCGCCATTCACCTTGTCACACCTAGTTGCTGTTGATCATTTCTGGCTTCATTAGTTCGTTGATTAGTTCATTCATTGTTTTGCTTTATTTGGTCGGTTTATCCTGGACAGTGCTTTGCATGTTACTTTATATGCACGTCATATATGTATATATTTACATGAAGTTTCAAATATGTTTATATATTATAAACATATAATATATATTATGTTTATATGTGGAGTGGCATTTTTGTCTATTTATGTCGATAGAATATTGTCTTTTGTCTGGCATTAGTAAGATATAGTAAAGAACAAGACTTTTAATATGTCTATTTGTTATATAACCTTCTGCTATAAGAATGTACACAGGGATATGTCACTTTGTCCTTTGTGATAGCAATGGAGATTTTTTTAAAAACTTTTCACATGTGTTTTAGAGTATGTATGTAGATGAGAAAAGCCATCTCCCATGGCCTCAGCTCAGAAAATTCACGGAAATATATCTGAAGGAATCATGCCGGTGAATGATTCACTAAGTTAACAGAGAATTTTGGCAAATAAAACTGGTAATAATTGAAATGGTATCATGTGGGAGTGAAGGAAGCTTTTGAGTAGCTGGTGTTTGTTTCAGGCATGTGGCTCATGTCGTAATGCGCTGGTGTAACACTTTCGTAACGTGCATCAGCCCGGTGGCTGAGAAGATCAGAAGGCCCATTATTCCAGAGCGAGTCTGATGGAGGCTTTCTGAATTATACATAATGCTGATCAAGTGCTGTAAATCTCGGGAAATGGGAATAAAATGTGGGACAGTCATCCTCAGTATAATAAAAAGATGATGCCTGAAATGTGTCCTATGGTTTTTAATTAACTCTGCCGCCTTCATCCGAGCTGAGTCATCCGACGTCGGCAGGATCTTACGGGTATTTTGCAGGAAAAGGAGTCGGAGAAAACCCACGCAGACACATGCGGACATGCACAGGTCAGAGTTCATGGTAACCAGGAAGAATCCCTTCATAAGACATTATTGGGTAGTGTGTGTCACGATATAAGACTCTGAATTTACCTCTTTATTTTTACCAGCATATATACGTATGTACAGTACTGTGGAAAAAGGTTAGGCAGTCAGAGAAACTGATTAGCCATTTATCTGGTAATAAGTGTGAATTTGCTCTGAACAAAAATAATAATAATAATTTAACATTAGAACATATGCCAGTTAAGAGTAGCACAACAAAACTAACTAGAATTTTGTTTCTCCAAAAAGTTACTGATATCTAGTTGGATGGTTAGATGAACACTGCTTCAGTTCCCAAACCTCTCCTCAGGGGCACCTCAGCCGTTCCACGTATCATTACTAGCTCAGTAAGTTAATTGATTTAGTTAGTTTAAAATGTCAGTGAGTTACTGATTAGCCAAATGAGGTGTGCTAGTGGTCGAGTCAGAATATACATTTGTTTATTGAATTGTTGCTGCAAATCCATTGGTCTTTTCCGGAAGCCCCTCCAGCATCACTTACATCACTTCCTGCCCACCTGTGATGATTCAGGTGGACGTGAGCTTACTGGCCTTCAGCTAACCAGCTGGTAAACAGCTCAGACAGCACAAGGTCGATAGTATCAATTAAGAGCTGAGCGGCCCCATCAAGTCACACCTCCGGCAAATGAGGGATGGGGGGGGGGGTTGCTGTTTGGACCAGAGGCTGTACACCCTTGTTGATTGCCTATTTTTTCATCCTCAATAAAATACCCCCAGGGAAGGAGCCGGAATCAGAGAGTGCCCTATCCCAGTCACTCGTCAGCTGACTGATATCCCCGACACAATCCCGATTTGTGAAAGGTTTCCAAAGAAGTACAGCATGAACCCCCACCCCCACCCCCACCCCGCCCAAGACATAGTTACCTAGGTGACCTTGTTTGGAGAAGAGGGGGGATCAAGGGCAGAGGAGGAGTGTGGGTGGGATGTAGATTACAGTGGTGCCTTATTAATTTTCCAGCCTGTGAGCTGAGTGAGCAAACAGTGAAGTGCAGTGGCCAGCCGCCCACGGCAGCCTTGTCCAGAGAGAGCCGGGGTGATCTGCGGGTCGCGATCTACTGCAGGCATGGGAGGACCTGCGGCTGCATTTCCCTAAGGTGAGTACGCAGGGTCTGGCTAGAGCAGGGGCCCCCTCCCCCTGCTGGAGAATGGAATTTAAGGGCAGTTGTAATTATGTCTTCATTACATCTCCCTCATTACCCACCTCCGTCAGGTTAATTCCAGAGAGCCCTTAAATTCCAGTCTTGAGTGCGCTCTCGGATTTGACTTAATGGAGCCGTCTTTCATTCCCCCTCTATCTCCCTCTGGCTCCTTCTTCCTCAAATTGTGCCGATTAATTCTGCCAGGTGTCCAGGACACCCGGATCCTGAGACGCGTGCGTTTACAGCACCGACCGTAATTATTTCCCATAGTGTAATAAGTGCCAAAACGTGCGTGTGTTTCTCTTTTAAAGCACGAGTCCCTTACATAATATATAGATTTTAATCAGGACGTTCTGTCGTTCATTACAGGCGTAACTCATGATGAAACTTGTGAGGCGTAACAGTCAGTGTTAACAAGTGTAGGGGATGAGGACGGTAACAGCAAGAGCCTGATGGCTTTATGAACCTCCCGAGAAATGCTGGATGAACGTGTCTGTTGGTTCATTTTTCCAAGGCTTTCTTGGAGTGATTAAGAGTCATATATTTTGGATTGTGAAACTACTGAAGAATCCCTTCTGGTTTGGAAATGTTATTCAATAAATATAGTACTGTGCAAAAGTCTTAGAGAAAGAAAATGTTTAAGCTATTTTTCTGTGTAGTAAATGAATATTTCTTCAGAAAAAAATACAGTTTAACATTAGAACATATACAAGATACAGTAACACAATAAAACTAAGATGAATTTCTTGCGTTCTCCAAAAAGTTACTGGTATCTGGTTGGACGGCTAGATGAACACCGATTCAGTTCCCAAACCTCTCCTCAAGGGCACCCCGGCCATTCCATGTATCTGTCATATCACCACTGGCTTAATTAGTTAAAATAATTTAATGAGATGTTGATTAACCTGTGATCAGTAAGTGTCCCATCCTGGGTGATTCCCTGCCTTGCCCTCGTAGCTTACAGGATAGGTTCCGAAACCCCGAAACAGGACAAGTGTGTATAGAAAATGCGAGACGGATGATATTGATTAACTAAACAAGGTGTACTGGGAGAATTCGATGGTTGCAGCAAATACTGGGGTGACTCATTGGGGAATGAAAGGTACTAAAATGGCCATGCTGACATAATTTCATAGTTTTACACCAATATGAAGACCATTTAAACATAACTGTCTTTGCCTAAGACTTTTGCACAGTAAAATTAATTTTAATACGAAGCATAAAAATATGCTTTATACTGTATGTTGTCTTGTAAACAGTAGTTACTTTACCACATTCCAGACTTAATTTATTATTGGGTTTATAAAACACTGAAGCCAGTTGTATCAGGTATTCACAAATGTGCAGCTGAAGTAATGAATGAAATGCGTTAAGGGGAGGGCTGTAATGTTGTATTACAGGTGTTGCTGTCCGCCCCAAGGCTCTGCCTGGGCTGCCATCACAGGCACTTCTAGACCTTAAATCGATTTAGCAATTTGTCTCATATTCCTACCCACACACTTCATACAATTTTACTTGTAGGGAGGCCCCTCACTCCCCAAATTGTATCGTTTGCTAATAAAATGGCAACCCTATGGGTCATATCCTAGAATTGCCCCTGACTGACCAGCTGGTTCGGTATCTCCTATCTCCTATACCAGCGTGCTGAACACTATCTTTCTGTTCAGCTCAACACCGCCGGCTGGCCGCCACACTAAACGCCTCTCTCCGGTCTGTGTCTCTCTGCCCAGATTTTTTAGTGCCATGCCACCATTCCTCCCACCCGCTGTGGAAGAGCCGCCCGGAAACGACCACCTCACCATGCTGCCCCTCCCCTCGCAGCTGGTCCTGGCCGTCTACATCGTCACCTTCGTGACGGGCCTGCCCGCCAACATCCTGGCCTTCTACACCTTCAGTGTGAAGGTGAGGCAGAAGCCCACGCCCATCGACATCCTCCTCCTCAACCTGACAGTGTCCGACCTCATCTTCCTCATCTTCCTGCCCTTCAAGATAAAGGAGGCGGCGGACGGACTTAAGTGGTACATGCCAGACTTCCTGTGTCCACTCTCCGGTTTTATCTTCTACACCACCATCTACAACAGCACCTTCTTCCTCACGGCCGTCAGCGTGGAGCGCTACCTGGGCGTGGCGTTTCCCATCCAGCACAAACTGAACCGCCGGCCGCTCTACGCCGTGCTGGCCAGCATCTTCTTCTGGGTCTTCTCGCTGCTGCAGCTCAGCATCGTTTACATCATGCCCTACTACAACCCTGAGGGTGACAGCTTCAGGACACCGATTCCCCAGAACGCCTGCTATGAGGAATTCACCGACGAGCAGCTCAAGATCCTGCTGCCCGTGCGTCTGGAGCTGTGTCTGGTCCTCTTCTGCATCCCCTTCATCATCTGCAGCTACTGCTACATCAACTTCATCCGCATCTTGTGCAGGCTGCCCCACATCAGCAGCCGGAGGCGGCAGCGCGCCATCGGCTTGGCGCTGGTGACGCTACTGGTCTTCGCTCTCTGTTTCGGCCCCTACAACGCTTCCCATGTGGTGGGCTTCACCACCGGAACAAGTCCCCATTGGAGATACATCACCCTCCTCTTCAGCACCTTCAACGCCTGTCTGGACCCCATCATCTTCTACTTCTCCTCCTCGGCGGTGAGGAGCACGCTCCGTGACCTACTGCCGGGGCTTGTGAGCAGGCTGCGTCTCTCTGACTGCCCGAGCTCCCCATGCGCTCACTGCTGCCCCCTGTTGAAGCGATCTGAGACTAACAAGGACCTGGGCCAGAGCTCTGTGGTGGCCAATTCCCTCTGACGGGCTGCATCATGGGCTGAGTTATGACATGTATTGGTGTTAGCGTACATGTGCACAGTATCTATACCCGTATTTTTCCATTACGCTTTGTTTGATTTTATTAACAGGATAGCTATGGGACCCCCGCATGATTTGCTGATTGCTACACGTGTACACATGTACAGAATCCACACAACTGTACACAAGATTACATCCAATTTCGCTTTGAGGAGAAAAGCAAACAGAACAGTCCACCATGAGGCAGCTGTGAGAGATTGCCCAGTGGGACGGCCACAATAAAACAGGGCGTGTAGCATGTGATACTCTCCTGTGCAGGAAACACAGCAGCGGCATATGCACTGATAGGGCTTTGGTCTGCGCAGTGCAGTGATAATGACCTGCATCTCGCTGCAATAAACCACTCGAATGAATGCACTCTTTCAACTCTCCTCTTATGCTCACTCGATAGCAGAGCAGCGTCGCTTGTGTAAACAGTAAACGGGAAATAATATTTATCTTAATTCATTATATTAATTTGTGCCTGAAGAGACGGTGCCTGGGGGGTGATTTCACCATCATTGGGTTAAAGGTTTATTTATCTGATCATCTGAGAACAGCTGGAGGAAACGTACAGATACTTACAGTCCAAATATCATGCTGGTGAAATGTGTTGTGACATGGCAACTCGCTCGACCGCTGATATAACCTCCAGATGTTGACATCGTAGTGGCATGGCTCGTGGATTACTGAGGAAGCCAAAGCTCTGGTGGACAGGGGACAGTGAGCGGTTACCGCACCATGTGGACGTGACCGTCCCTTTAAGGGCAGGTCATTTAAAGGGCACATCAGCTGAGGAACTGAAAGACAGAGTACACGTCTGGTCATTAAGTGCGACTGGAAAACATCATAAAAACAGAAACGTTTAATTTACACATTAGTCATGCATTCGAGCAGAAAATCTAATTAAATGGATTTAAGCAGCACATCGAAACAGACTGAAAGTACAATGTGTGAAACCAGACAGTTGAAAAATCCTATTTCATGCTCTACCTTGGGTTTGGTCACAGATCAGGTCATACTTTGAGGGACTCGCACACTAGAGCTGGTTTTATGGGAAGCATTTCATCCACCAAACATGCCTTTGAAGCCTGATGCAGACCTGAGGGTGGCGTAACAGCCACCTGCTTCCCTACAAACGGTTTGAGTGATGACATTCAGCTGACCCTGATTACACTGATCCCAGGTCAGGATTTAAATAAGGTCAGCTGAAAGGATGTGGGAGATTTGAATCATCTGACCAGGGTTGGTTGATTGGTTGGTGTGTTTTGTGTTTTTTTCTTTGTGTTTTATCTTTCTTTGTGGTATTTGGCTAAAGGGGCTAAGACTCCATTTTATGTTTGTGTCAGGTTAATAAAGTAATTTACTTTGGTCGAAAGCCTGTGTGTTGCATTTTTGTCTTTGTGCTGCAGTATAACACACGCCTGCCTCACCCCCTGGTACTTCACATTCCATACAATGAGGGCTGACTGAGGATGGGGTTTTTTGGGGGGGGGGGGGGTATCAGTAAGAATTCAGTGGCATGTGCAGATACTGAGCAGGAATAACAAACAAAGATGCATACAAAGCTGGAGCTGACTGCTTATAATGTATGAGCCAGTATGAACCAGGCTAGTAGAGAGGCTGTGTGGCCCAGGAGGAGCAGATTCAACCAGGAAGAGGAACAGTGTGGCTGAGGAAGAGGAGCGTACTGGACCAGCACACTTAAAGAGTGTGCTGACCAGCTGGCCGTCATCCTCACCGACGTATTCAACACCTCCCTGACTCAGGCCATTGTTCTAGCATGCTTCAAGACCACAACTATCATCCCAGTCCCAAAGAAATCAGTGGTGACCTGCCTCAATGACTACCGTCCTGTGGCCCTCACTCCGGTCATCATGAAGTGCTTTGAAAGACTGGTCACGAGCCATATGAAAGCCGCCCCTTCCCAGCACTCTGGAGCCTCTCCAGTCTGCCTACCGCCCCAATCGGTCAACCGATGATGCAATATCCACTGCGCTTCACCTGTCGTTAACCCTGGAATAGAGAGATTCTCACGTAAGTATGCTGTTCATCGACTTCAGCTCAGCTTTTAACACCATCATCCCTCTGAGACTGCCTCTCAAACTGAGCGGGCCAGGCCTGAACACCCTCCTGGTTAACTGGATACTAGATTTCCTCACTGACAGGCCACAGTCAGTCAGAATCGGCACCAACACCTCCAACACCATCACCCTGAGCACAGGTGTGCCACAGGGCTGTGTCCTGAGTCCACTGCTCCTCACACTCCTGACCCACGACTGCACAGCAGAGATCAGCTCAAACCAGACCATCAAGTTTGCGGATGACATGACTGTGGCGCCTCATCAGGAACAACATTTCTGCATACATGGAGGAGGTGGCGAGAGAGGCTCCGTGGCGTAAGAGCAACAACCTCTGACTACATGTAGACAAAACCAAAGAAATGACCATCGATTTCAGAAGATCCAGCACTGCTCACCCAGCTCTCACCATCGACTGGTCCCTCAACTCCACCTCCATAGCCAAGAGGGCTCGACAGCGTCTGCACTTCTTGCGGAGGCTGAAGAGAGCGAGCCTCCCCCGACCGGCACCATCGAAAGCCAGCTCTGCAGCTGCAGCACTGTCTGGTACGGGAACTGTGACGTCTCGGACTGTAACACGCTTCAGCGGATAGTGAGAGCAGCTGAGAAGATCTCCAGTGAGCCCTTACCCCCCCTAAAACACATTTTCCAGACCCGCTGCTACAACAGAGCCAAAAACATTATAAAGGACCCTTCCCACCCGCCACACGGACTCTTTTCTCTCTTACCTTCCGGAAAACGGTATCGAAGCTTCCGCTCTGCCTCTACCAGGCCGTGCAACAGCTTCATACCACAAGCCGTCATAACTAATACACACTAATATCTGCACTGTCTCTTTAA